GTTACAAATATGCACATGTGAAAGAAAAAGGAAATATGGATAAATCAAAAATCGCTACAATAAACACCTGTGCATTGGTATGCTTGTTTTTATTTGTTCGTATTCTGTGTAGTCAAATAAACTTGAAAAAAGGTAAAGATGGCGTTTGTTCGTTAATACAGTATGATTTGGCGTAAAAGGAAAATTGTAATAATCACCTTGTTACTGCGTATTATTTATTTCTCTTAAAAAAATATCGCGCGATTTGCTTTATTGATATTTAATTTTTTCATATCTAAAAATGGGAAACACATCATCGTCGTCGTCATCGTCTTCATGTTATAACTTTCGAAAAGTAAGTCCAAATGAAACATATCGATATCTTATAAAAATAAATGAAGAAGGAGGTAATCTAAAAATTCAAGCTTCAAGAATACAATTTATTTTGTGAGAAAAGCGAAATTTATAATATTTTTTTTGTTGCAATTTTTATAGTTGATCGCGTTCAAGTTCAACACCACGTTTTTAGAGAAATTCTAAAAGATAATTTTTCGGCACCGATTAAAGATACTCTAAGACAAGGTGCTTCTGTATTGGATCTCGGGTAAATATTATTGATATATTTTCATTGATATTAAATTTTATAAATTAATTGATCTTTGATAGATGTGGACCAGGTATATGGGTTTGCGAAATGGCTGCAGACTATAAATACTCAATGTTCCACGGAGTAGATTACCTCAATATTTTCCCGACCCAAAAACCTGTGAATGCACAATTCATAAAAGCAAACTTACTTAAAAGACTACCATTTAAAGATGAAGATTTTGATTATGTGCATCTACGGTCATTGGTGCTCGCTTTCACGCCTGATCAGTGGGAATATATGATAATTAAGGAGGCTGTTCGATTGTTACGGCCGAATGCATATATTGAGGTTATTTTTCTTTAAGTTTAGGAATGAGCGTTTTTTTAACGAAAAAAGAGTCACAATTTACGTATAATGAAACTATAGATGAATGATTTTTTCAGATTTCAGAATTCGATTTAAAATTACATGATGGAGGGCCTTGCGTTACGAGATTTTCAAATGCTTGTGAGTACTATCACTTTGAATCGATTTTTATTCAATTTAATCAAATAGATGACATTTAATAAATATAGTAAGAACAAAATGCATCGAGCATAACCTTGACCCATCAATCATTCTCAAAATACCGAATTACCTACAACGATGTAACGAATCACTAAAACGTGTGTATGGTCAAGAACTAAAGGTTGCCGTAGGAAAATGGGGCGGCAAAATGGGTAATTTTTTATAACATCAATCTCAAAAAAATCCATGCCATGAATTTTAATAATTATCCAATGCCTACTATACTATAAAGGTGAAATCCAGGGAGACCTCTTCGTCCGTTTACTGCGCGAAGAATCAAAAATTATTAAAAGACTTGTGAAACTGAACGCTAAAGAATATGAAGAATTTATAGAAAATTTCATTCAGGAACTTAATACGCATACTGTTTATATAACGTGGCATAAATATTGGGCGAAAAAAGACTTACATGTACAATCAAATTAGAGAATTTTTTCAGATATCGATATGGTATTTATTATTTATCGTTATCAATACATGTGATTTTGAAAACATAAATTTGCTTTATATATAAACCATCAAAACCATAAGCAAAATTTAAAAAAGTGATAATAAAATAATGAACTTCAATGATAAAAAGACGAAGCCGAAGATAACGAATACGTTGAATAAGAATTATTTTCTGGCACTTTTTTAAAAATGTTCATTTCAGGCGAGAGAAACATGTATAAGATATCACTTAAGGTGATTACACCGATTGGAATATCATCGTCGTCAACAAACCAAGCACGATGTACTTTGCTCAACATTATTCCCGACATTACTTGGCTCAGAGTGTATCTTTGTCGACAGGTTAGCGGCTTGATTAGTCCTCCTTTGCAGGTGTTCAGAAACATTATTACCGGTTTCTTGAGATCATTTAGACGCTATCATTTATATTAATTAGTAAAAAAGAGAATTAAATTTTTATTCGAATAATATATAAATAGATAGAAACTCACATTTCTATTCAATCCTCGTAAATCAGCTGCAGAAATTTCACCCACTAACATTCCTTCATCATTCAAAATCGCGACCGCATTAACTTTGTCCTCGTAAATTTTACGAAAGGCGGTTAAGGCCTGATCGTGTATTGTGATTGTCGACAATGCCGCGAATCCACCCCGACGCGATAATGACGCACGATTCGCGGCCTCCGACGCGGGCAGATCCAAAATTTCTCCCAATTGATGATTATGTTTAACGAGAAATCGAATTACGTCAGTTTGTGAAATAAAGCATGGTTGAATTAAGTCTTCATTAATGACGTCATTGATTGTTTCGTCAGGTGACGAGGGAACTTGACTGGTTACCAGGACTCGGTGAACTTTGTGATGTGTAAAGAGAACGAGAAGTTCTTGAAGAGAGTCTGATGGATGACGAATTGTGAGATGTGTTGATTCTGGAGAAAGACCAATTAATTCGCCTATTGATTTCTTTAGTAATCAATTTTAATTATACGATTCGATGAATTATTTATTTTTCACTTTAACGGTAGAATCAAACATTCTAAATTACCTGGAGGAAAATTGATTTCTCGTTAAATGATTCTTGATTGTCTGATAGATCGTCAGTAAACTACAAAGTTAAATTCAGTAAATTCAACCATTCTCTAAAATATATAGCATTATCATTCTCACCTGTAAGCACACGAACGTAACCAAATCAAATGCACTAACTAAAGCAATCGGTTCTCGATGTCCTTTCCATATTCGATATACAGGAACGCTCAATATATTCTCTTAGAACCATTTAAATAAATTATGAATAAATAAATCATTGAACGAATATAATTATCAATAAATTAAATAAAAACATTACCAGCTAATAACAAGTCAAATGCCTCCTCAACGGTAGCGTTTACCGACAACTGAATAAGCGACTGAATATTTGGTTTTTCAGCCAACACATTAGAAATTGTTTGTTTCTCAATAAATGATACATGTTTTGCTGGTTGAGACATCATTTTTATTTGTTATCTTTTTTAATTTTTTATTATTTTAAGTTTTACTATTTTTTAAGTTTACTATTTGATTTGCTTTATAAGCTCAAAAAATTCCGGGCATAAAAGTTTATGGTAATACCGAAGATTATTATTAACGTTAAGAATTTAATAAATGTATATACTGTATATAAATTTGGTTCTCATCAAGACTACAGTGGGGCTTTATAAATTGTTTTCAACCTTGCCCTAGTGAGTGGTGGGTAAATTTTTTGATCACAATATCGTGAGGTTTTTGCGTCATATTATTGTTTTCTTCATTTATCGCTATCAATTATCAGCCAATTACACACTGTCAAAACATACGTTGTTTGATTTATGCATGTTGCTTTGTTTTTTTGTTGTTGATAAAAATGCAATGAACCTGTATTTGTGGCATGACAATCCACATTCCTATACATGTATTTCATTCAATTCTCGCTACGCATTTTTATGAATGCACAAAATGCATGACATGTCGTCATTGAATTCATTCTATTCATGCTTTATTACAGTATACATGTACATCAATGTACATCAGTATATTTTCTTTACTCAAAACGATTTTCTCAGGCTTAAATTGTGAACAATGCGTGGACCTTTCAATTTTATATCGCGAGTTTATTAAAATAGGTTCGGAATATTTTAATCGTCGTCGTTAATATCAATATGTCACAAGCAAATACATGTACATGAACATTATACTGATTGGTCGTAACACCCTATCAGATTTTTATTTGTACATGTACATGTATAACGTGTTCATGTTTAAATAGTTGTGATTTTCCGCTTGCTGTTGACAACAATTGCTGATGCAAAAAATAACATGTATGTATTTTGACTCTCAACCAAATACATGTGCTAGGCTGGTTTAATTACTTGAAAAGGAAAATTAAGATATAATTAATAATAATTGATCATATATCATGATTTCAATCCTGGAAATATATTAATACATGGATTGCAAAATCAAACAAATTTTCTTAAATTGTTATAATTTTTGAATGATTATATATGAAAATTATAAATGATAAATAATCATTTAGTAAACAGCATCATAAATCATTAGCTTATATTAGTAATATTACAGATATTTATAAATTTGAAAATGAAATTATAACTGTCAATTTTATAATTATTAGATATTATATAAAGTATGATTTGTGATATCAAATATAATTTTTAGAGCAAATTTATTAAACTAAGTGTAAAAATTTTTATTATTAAAATATAGTAAACTTTCATAATAATCTCATTTATAATTTTAATCATATTAATTTTTTTATTTAATTATATATATTATATAAAATTTTTGCTTATAGTAGTTATAATGTATAATTATATAAAATTACCAAATTCTGGAAGTTTACTATATATAGGAACCAAATATTATATATTTTAATATTATAATTTTTTAAAATACATGAAAAATTTCTGAAAATAAATAAATAAAAACTAAAAAACTTGATAAAATAAATCAAAAATAAATTTTTATAAATTATAAATAAAAAATAACAAATTTATATTAATTGAATTTTATTTTAATATTATAGTAATAATAAAAAAAAGTTATTAATTTTATGATTTCATAAAATTATATTGAATTATATAATTCATAATTTTTCATTTTTATTTTTTATATTATATTATATTATATTATTATTTTTACTTTCATTTTTTATATCTTTATTATATTTTATTTTTATATTTATTTATTTTAAAATATAATATTTTATTTGAAATATAGCATTTTAATAGAATATTATAAATATTTTAAATTTTAAATATAAATTAAAAAGTAAAATTTTAAAATAAAAATTTTAAATTTGAAAAGTTTAGTTTTATAAAATTAAGAACTGAATTATTAAATCTGATTCTTATTTAAAATCTGAATCTAATAGTTTTTTAATTCAAATTAAATTAAAACTGAATCAAATCTAAATAATTTTACTATAAATTAAATATTTTTATTATTTACTTATATAAAAATAATTATATAATTATTATTATTATAATTAAAAAAATAAGATTTTTTAACTTAAATAAAAATAAATAATTATTATTTAAATAATAAAAAATATTTTATATATATTTTTTAATATTAAGAATAAAAAATAATATAATTTAAAAATTTATTTTTTTAAATTTATTACAAAATTTTTTAAAAATTATTTTAATAAATTATTTTATATATTTTTTTAAATAAATCTATTTATTAAATTATAAGTAATATTTAAAAAAATTTAATTTAGTTTAAGTTTAATTTGAACTTAAACTTAAGCTAAATGCAAATTTAAACTTATATTTTGAATTTAAATTTAAAAAACTCAAACTTGAATTAGAAAAAATATTTGAAAATTAAACTTAAATCAGAAAAAAAGTTTAACTTGAATTAGACTTAAACTTAAAATTTAAGTTTGATTTGAAATTAATTATATATATTATAATAAAAATTATAATTCTAAATTAAAATTTCAAAATAATATCAATCTTTCTTGAAATATAATAAAATACTATTAATTTATTTTAATAATAAAATATTTCAAATTCAAAAAAAAGTTTCTAATAATTAATTAAATAATCTTATAAGTAATATATCAATTTATTATATATATAAAACTAATAAAATTTCTATTAATTACTTAGCTAATTATTCTTGAAAATTAACTTCTCAAAAATATTATCATATTAAAATAATTATAAAATATAATTATTTTATTATAATATTAGAACTCAAAATTAAATTAAAAAAAAATAATTCTAAATTTAAGATTAATAAATATATTATAATCTTTCTAGTTATATTATAATATATATATCAAGAAAATTCATACAGAAAATTCAAGATATATGTGATATAGTTTAAAATAGAATTCATATAGAAAACTAATTCAAGATAGACAAGATTATTATATTTTAAAACTTATTCTTTATTATATTATTATCATATTATTAAAAATATAAAACAAAAATAATATCTTTAAATAATAATTTAATATTATATAGAATTAATAATATAATAAATATAATTAATAATAGATAATACTTATAT